AAAAGTAGACTAGACCAGGTAGAAGAAATAAACGGTGAACATAAAAGAGAAGGAAAAAAAGAGGAAAACTCAAAAAAGACAAAGGGAATTATGAAACACCATCATGTGCATCACCTGCATTCAACGTAACAAAAAATAAATAAAACAGATAACTATCATCATGTATGTACCAACATAGTAGTTAGTCTAGAAAAAATGAATAAATCTCTAGAAATATACAACTTACCAAGACTGAGTCTAGAAGAAATAAAAAATCTGTACATAACTGTAAGAAGTAAGGAGATTTAAGTATTTTTTTTTTTTTTAAAAACCCTCCTGTTGAACAACAGTGCGAAAAAAATAAAAAATATAAATAGTGAGCCAGGTACACTAACTCATGTCTTTCATCCCAGATACTCAGGAGGCTGAGGTAGCTTAGGAAGACAAGGTTACAGTAAGCCATAACCATGCCACTGCACTCTAGCCTGGGTGACAGAGCGAGATCCTGACTCAAAAACAAACAAACAAAACTCCCAACAAAGAGACTAGAAACAGATGCAAAATACATCCTTACTTCACAATTCTAGCAAACATTTAATGAAAAATTAACACTAATCCTTCTAAAATAGTTCCAAGTAATAAAATAGGGAATCCAAAAAACTCACTATTGGACCCCACCATTGCTCTGATACCATTCACGCAAATATATGACAAGAAAGCAAAACTACACACTAATATCCCTTTAAACATTGATGAAAAAGTCCTCAGCCATGTGGAGTGGCTCACGCTTGTAATCCTAGCACTTTAGGAGGCAGAAGTGAGAGGAATGTCTAAATCTGGGTTTGAACCTGGGCAACTTGGTGAAACCTCATCTCTACATTAAATAAAAAAATTAGTGGCATGATGGCATGTACCTCTGGTTCCAACTACTTGGAAGGCTGAGGCAGAAGGATTACCTGAGCTCAGCAATTGAGGCTTTAGTGGCAGTGAGTGTGCCACTGCACTCCAGCCTGGGAGACAGAGTAACACTCCCACTCAAAAAAAAAAAAAAAAAAAGTACTCAACAAAAATCTAGGAAATCAAATTGTACAGCACATTAAAAGGGTAATAGACCATGATCAAGTGGGATACACACTGGGAAGACAAGGATGGTTCCACAGAATAAAGTGAGTCAACGTAGCATATCACAATGACATAGTGAAGAACAAAAATCACATGATCATCTCAATTCATATTAAGAAAATTTGACAAAATTCAACACTATTCATGATTAAAAAACAATCAACAAACAAAGGAGAAAAAAAATCTTCAGAACATTATATTTTGCATTGACTTCTTGGATATAACAGCAAAAGCACAGGCAAGAGCAGCTAAAACAGATGACTGGAACCAGATCCACTGAGAAACATTTGGACATAAAAAGATGTTATCAAAACAGCAAAAAAACAAAACGAAACAAAAAAAACAACAAACTGTGTTGTAAAAGAAAAGCTAATTCTGAAGACAAAATAAAGTTGTCTAACAAACTATATATAAACAATTAAAGACATATAGTAGATATAACTTTAAAATTAATCAACTAAAGTACCTATAATATATACACAAAATATAAATTCATGAGAAATATTCTGTAGTAAAAACAAACTTTCTCCCATCAAACAATCACAATATGCTTTGTGAGGGAGTTTTCCTACACACTAGCCAGAAGTCAGTTCTCAGAGAATACCAACTAGGTATCCTCCAACTCAGTTCACTTTCAACACTATCTACCTAGAAACAGTGTCAGATCATACGAGTGGGTCCCCCACTTCCAGTGCCAGTGGTAAGCCCAGGTTGTTCAATCTGTGTTTCTGATGGACTGTCTAGAAAGTGGTATTTCCACAAACCCCTTATCGTGTTCAATTAAGTGATTAAAGTGACTCACAGACCTCAGACTCTTCACTTGCATTTACTCATTTTTTATATAGGCTATGACAAAGGATACATTTGCAGAGATGTGTTTAGCAAGGTATGACAAAAGGGCTGAGAGCTTCAATGGCCTCACAGGGACATCACCCTCCAGGAACTTCCATATGTTCAGCTATCCAGTCACTCTCTGAAGCCTGTCCTTTTGGGTTTTCACAGAAGCTTCGTTAAATAGGCAGAATTAATGAAATCACTCCCACTGGTGATCAATTTAAATTTCATCTCTGCCACCTGTCGTAGTTGAGTGGAGCTGTAAATTCCAACCCTTCAATCCTGCCTGAAATTCCGATGAAGGTTTTTTTTTTTTTTTGAGTTGGAGTCTCACTCCATCATCCAGGCTGGAGTGCAGTGGCACACGTACAGCCAGCCCAGCGTGGACCTGCTGGGTTCTGGCGATCCTTCCACCTCAGGCTTCCAAGTAGTCAGAACTACAGATGTGCATTACCATGCCTGTCTAATTTTTTGATTTATTGTAGAGTTGAGGTCTCACCGGGCTGGTCTCAAATCCATGGGTTCAGGCAATCCATATGCCTTGGCCTCCCAAAGTCCTGGGATTACAGGCTGAGCCACCAAGCCTGGTCCCAGTGAAACTTCTTAGAGGCTGCCAGCTATCAGCCAACACATTTGTATACAAAAAATAAACACTCACAGAAGGTGTGGTGGCTCAGGTCTGTAATCCCAGCACTTTGGGAGGCCGAGGGAAGAGGATTGCGTGAGCCAAAGGGTTCGAGATCAGCCTGGACAACTTGGCAAGATGTCATCTCTACAACAAAACAAAAAAATTTTAACTGGGTGTGGTGGCACACGCCTGTGTTTCCAGCTGCTTGGAAGGCTCAGGCAGAAAGATCACCTGCGTCTAGCAGGTCAAAGTTGCAGTGGCCATGAGTGTGCCACTGCACTCCAGCCTTGGTGACAGAGTGAGAATTCACTCAAACAAAATAGTAAATAAATAAAACACACACACACACTCTGGAGATTATAAGGACTTTTGGGGTTATACTCCAGGAAACTGGGTCAAAGATCAGGTATACATAAACCTTCAAACATTAGATCTAAATTGAGCCTACCACTGTGTAAAAGGGACTCTGTGAGGTCTTCTAAATCAAGATGCTACAAACAAACAAACATACAACAAAAGACAAGAAGTATGAAGAAAAGATTTCTGTTTCACACTAAAAAACTATATAACCTAAAAAGAGACAACAGAGCAAATATAAAAAATTAAACTACAGAATAAATATAAAACAGCTCCTAAAATACATATCAAGAAAATGGAGCAATGTATAAAAATCCATCTCTTTATATATGTGTCCATTCCATGAAGGAATAAAACTTGCTCAGATTCATAAGAAATAAAATGGAAACACAAAGGGTTGTAATTTTCCCCGAATTTTCAAACTGTTAAAAAAACATGGTAATAATTTTTGTTTACCGAGTGGGAGATCTCACGTGGTGTTGATGACAAATGGCACTTTTCCAGTTCAGGGCAGAGACAGGATACTGCCAGATCTATCAATACAGTACATGCCCCATCCTAGAAGAACTAGCACTCTTTCAACTGTCTAACCAGGAGGAAGCCTATGATACCTGTAATAAGACTGCATATTCAGAGGCAACCAGTGTGGCATTCTTTATTTTTCCTTTCTTTTTTTTGTGTGTGGAATTCTTTATATCAGTGAAAAAGCTGAAAGACCCACCTGTCTTCATTCAGAAAAAGCTCCAAGAAGAATACAGAAGAACGAGCCATCTATGTTTCTTAACTTTGAAACATGTTAATTTTCAAAATGTGCAGGTTAAAAAGCTGCAACACAAATTCACTTGCTATGGCTGGGCCCAGTGGGCTGAAATCCCAGCACTCTGGGAAGTGGTGGCGAGAGAACTCCCTTAGCTCCGCCTGGGCAACTAGGTAACACCTCAACCTCATGTCTATAATAAAATTTAAAAATTAGCTGGGCATGGTGGTATACACCTGTAGTTTCAGCTACTTAGAAGGCTGAAGCAGAAGGATCATCTGAGCCCAGCAGGTCAGGCTATGGTACGTGGCCGTAAGTGTGTCACCGCATTCCAGCCTGGGAGATACAGTGAGACTCCGACTCAAAAAAAAAAAAATCACAAAAACCTTATAACCATGTAAAAATTCATTCTACAGGACTCTCATGGACTCTTCCCACAGAACAGAGAACAGTGGTTCCTCAATGCAATGTGAGGAGGGGCGGCTGGAAAGGGTAGAGAATTTTTACTAAAAAACAAATGAATACATCATATCATGTTTATAAGAAGAGAAATAAAATGCTTAACAATAATTGGAACAATGAGAATATGGTTTTATTCTCTTTAAAGGCAAAGAAGTGCTGCTCCTAGGTCTTAGAAAAATTATAATCATCCTCACCTAAAACACATGTTGCACAAGAGTCCCTGAAAAAACACCAGTGTCCCCTTGGCATGATTCTGTGAGCATAGTTTAATGAATCTCCTGCTGGCTGACATATTTTCTCATATATTAAAACAGACGATGGAATGAAACATCCTATGTCACTGAGGCCCCTGACTCAACTTTCCATCCCATTCCCAGTCATTAAGAGTGAACTCAAAAGCACAATGCTTTCCTTGTTCAGCTTCAAATGTATTATAAAATCTGGCTAAAAATATTTATTCTCCTCAGTCTCCTTTTCCAGAATTTACCAAGTCCTGGTACACACTGATGTATGGCTTCCACATGCAGATCCTCTAACCCTGATCTAGAGAGCTGATGTGGACCCCAAACAACCCTAACGTCCAACAGCTCTCATACCACAAGGATCACACCCCATCTCCAACCACGTCTCATATGAGCCCTTCCCAGAATCACACTCTGTGCAACTTCCTCACAAATTCACATCATTAGGTTATGGGGAGATGGAATCTAGGTGGAGACAAGAAGAACTGAGGGAAGACTGGGTAAATGTGAACAGACATGACAGTAAGGATGTTTCAGACCCAGAGGGGATGAGCAACTCCAACGCCTGGCATTTCACACAGGAAGGAGACAGGACAAACCACTGAGAAGGTCACTTTACCTGAGAGAGAGTCATCCCTGATGGATTTTCTTGACTCCTCCTCCGCTTCTGGACTTCTTCATGCACCATGAGGCTTTAGACGTCAACCCTAGATGGCAGAAACATACTGTCCATTGCTCAGAATCATCAAATCCCTGCCCTGTGCCTCAACCACACACAGCAAAGACCTCACCCCGTGGAAAGACGGTCTTTTGCCGCCCACTGCGGGGACAATAAACTCCTACAAGAGGAGACACAGGAACAATACACTCCTACAAGAATAACACCAAGTGAGTCTTTTGGCACCTTTCTTCAGAACTTGCTCCCCTCCTGGAGGAGCCTACACACTTGCTACAGCAGTGGGGAGCTGGGCTAAATTGAGCTCCCTTCCAGGAGACCGGGTCCTGATCAAATCCCATGAAGAGTATAGCACTCCCCCACCTTTCTGTGGATCACAGGCTGACCTCAGTCCTCAGAAATGGAGGACATAGGGCCTTGGTGCTCTATGCTGGACACCAATTCGAATCAATATTCAACATTATTAAAGCTGGGCCCAATCTCTTTGAATGAAATCTTTGGTAAGACTGCATAAGGGGTGTTTCTACAAAACACATCAGGACTCTTAATGAGAAACCAGGATTGAGCCCCACTCAGGGGGGGGGCAGCCCAGCCCACCCCCCACCTTCCGGCTCTGCTCTGCCCTTGGGATCTTTTTGTCACCAGGATTCAGACAGTGAGAGACAAGGGAAAAGAAAAAACACATGCAGAGCAGGCAATATGGACCAGAGGTCGGGCTGAAGGTGTGGCTGGAATGTCAACTGGGGACATGGGAAAGCACAGAAGCCTCCATGAGAAAGATGACATCATAAGAAAGACCTGGGGAAGGAAGGGTGTTTGCACCTGCAGCTGAGGGACAGAGGGTTCTAGGCATGGGGACAGCCAAGTGAAGGCCCTGAGGCAGGAGCAGCTTCCACCCCAGGAACAGGGGAGAGGCCCGTGTGACTGGAGGAGAGCAAGGAGAAGGACACAAGAGGAGATGAGGTCAGAGGGGTCCAGGGCAGCAGATCAGGGAGAACCCAAAGCTCCAACATTTTTCTCCCATACTTCAAAAGGTTTTGGAAATATGCAATTATTCACCCATCTTAAGTAAACATACATTTTACCTTTATCTTATAATTAAATTGACTCACAAATAATGTCACATCTTCTTTATCTTAACTACATGTGAACAGTTTCACCAAGGCCTAGGAAGAACAGGCTGGCCCTCATCTGAGATGTGCAGGGCTGCAGGGAACACGTTTGGAGTTCAGGAAGTCATTCCTGGACACGTGAAGGGAGAGAAGACTGTTAGACATCCCAGCAGAGTTGAGGGAACAAATGGACACAGTTTCCAGCGTTCAGCGGAGAGGTCTGCAGGCCAAATGGAGACATGCAGATCGGTTTAAAGCCAGGAGATGAGATGACAAGGAAAGGCAGTGGGTGTAGACAGAGATGAGAAAAGGTTCAAGGACTGAGCCGGGGTCATCCCACATTGAGAGAACAGGGACATCAGGAGACACCAGAAGAGGAAAGCAGGAAGTGATAAGGGAGGCAACAAGGAAATTGACACAAAGAGTTTCTAATTACTAATGGCATCTCCTCAAAGCCAAGAACAGAGAAAGTGATAAACCTGCCACACACAGCTCATAGGACTAAAAAATTAAATCTTGGATTTAGAAACGGGAGGGTCACTGGGGACTGAAAAACAAAGAATCAGTGAAATGTTGGATGTGAAAGCTTGATTCAAGGAAGAATTCAAGGGTTCAAGCAAGAATTGGAGGCAGGAATTCAAAAAACATAAAAAGTTTTTAGTGCATTATGTTTGGCGCATAGAAGAGGGTAACTTACTACAGAAAGAAAAGTAGTAGTTAAGAGACTCTTTCGTTTTAAAGATGAAAGAATGTAAAAGACACAGACGGTGTGTGTGTGTATGTGTTCGTTTTAATGGAAAAATACCTCCATCTCGTTATGCTGTTCCAAATAATTCCCAAGATGTAAAATTAATGATGCCATGGAAGAAGTAGGTCATACTGTCCTGAGACTGCAAGGGAGGCTGGCACATGGGACACGATCATAGGGTCAGCAACAGCCAGGAGCAGGGACAGACCATTCCCAGTCACTATGGAGATCACAGGCCCTGAGACAGGAGGGTGGGCAGGTTGGAAAACATCTCTTCCCTTCACTGTGTGAGATGCGAAAAACCCAAACTGTTGTGACACTCACACTCAACACAGAATACTTCACCTTTAGTGACCAAAACATGTTTATGGTTTTTCCCACCCTGACCAGTCCTCGAGTGACCTCCCAGCTGGAGGTCGTACAATTTAACTCATTTCTAACCCTATCTACAGGATAACATCAAACACAGGTTAAGAGCTCAGTCCCACAAGGCTGTCCCCTCACATGCAGGCTGTCATTGCCACCTTCTGACACACTTCATAAATACTGTGGTTCTCTTCACCCCCTCCTTGGATTCGACTAACTTGCTATGACAGTTCTCACAACCAGTTCTTCTGTATCCTTTGTAATATACTTTATTACAAATGGGTAAATTAAGTAAAGTATTTCCTTGAGTTCTGTGAGCCACTCGGTGAAACCAACAGAACCAGGGGAGGAGTGCCATTTTTTTTTTTTTGAGCCAGAGTCTTACTCTGTCAACCAGGCTGGAGTGCAGTGGCATGCTCATGGCCACCACAACATCGATCTGCTGGGCTCAGGCGATCTTTCCACCTCAACCTTTTAAGTTGCCAGAACTACAGTCATGCACCACCATGCCCGGCTAATATTTTGACTTACTGTAAAGAGGAGGTCTTGTCAAGTTTCCTGGGCTGGTCTCAAATCTCTGGGCTCAGGCAATCCTTTGGCATTGGCCTCCCAAAGGGCTGGGATTACAGGCTTGAGCCACTATTTCAGAGGTAAGTGTCAATTTATACCACCTGGTGAGAAGTTCAGAACCTGGCACTTTGGACTGGTATCTGCAGTGGGAGCCCTCAACGAGTAGAGTCTGATGCTAACTCCAGGCAGTTTATGTCAGAATAGAGTTAAATTATAGTACATCCAGTCAGTGCCTAATGGAAAATGGGTTGTTAGTGGGGAGAAGTCCTCATACACTTTGGTGACCTGTGGTGAAGTATGCTGTGTTGAGTGTACACTGCTGCATTGATTGAGAGAGGAGGAAAAACAATTTGGTTTCTTGGTACTGGAAGAGGGTGAGCCACAACCGAATGAGTCAAGTCACTGCCCTACAGCTGAATAAGGATTAAACGTAGAATTTACCCTCCAGCACTGAGAATTACAAAGGGCACCAGCCTTACAGAACAGAACTTTTGCTATTGACACCAGCATCTGAGTAATTTAAACAAAAGTATTTAAAATACAAGTATTAGAGTATAAGGGCAAGGTTTGGTGGCTCATGCCTGTAATCCCAATGCTTTGGGAGGGGGTAGGGATTGCTGGAGGCCAGGAGTGCAGCGGGGGCAACATGCAAGATCTCAACTCTGCAAAAAAAATTAAATGCTAGCCAAGCATGATAGCATACACCTGTAGTCCTAGCATCCCTACTTGGGAGGCCAGTGCAGAAGGATCACCTGAGTTTGAGTTTGACGCTGCAGTGAGCTACAACCGTATCACTGCATTCCAGCCTGGGCCACAGAGAAAGATCCTATGTCAAAAAAAAAAATTAGATTACAAACACAGAAATCAACACATCACTATGTAGTCATCCATGTCCAATCATGCCACCCCTCATCTGGACCAGGGTCCCCTCTTTCTTCATTACTGTTTCCCTCCCTCTCTCTGTCCTTATCTCTCATTCCCACCTTCTCTGTCTAGCTGTTTTTCTTTTGTTTTCCTCTGGGCTTCTGTCCCTCATTTTGTGCCCCTCTCCTCTCCTGGTCTTCCTTCCCTTCCTCCCTCTATTTGTTTCCACCTGTTCTGCCCTATTCTTGTAACTTGCATCTCTTGTTCCTTTCTCCCCAGTCTTTTGATTGTTTCAATCTCCACACATTTCTGCCTCTTTCCTCCCCCATCTCTCCTCTCCCCATAAACTCCCTCTCCCTGTTACACTCCCTGGCTCTCACTCTGGCACCCCCAATTCCTAGCTTCCTTCCTGCTGTGTCTCTCCCTCTGCTCTCATCACCAATTGTCCCCTCCTGTCCCAGCACCCGGCTGCTGTCTGCTGTAGCTCTAAATCATTCCTCCTCTCTCCTCACTCTGTGTCTGAGATGCTTCCCTTTGCAGCCCCTCTCCCTATCTTGTTATCTTTTATCTCTCTGGAGAGGGAGCTTTTCTCTAAGCTTCCCCAGTGGCTTCTTTGTTGGTTTCCCCCTGCTTCTTTGTTGGCTTCCTCCACCCCCCACACTTGTACTGTCTCTCTGCAAACCCCTCACCCATCTGTTCTGCCATTTGTTTATGGCTCCCACTCATTTTTCTTGACTCAGTTTTTCTAATTCCTCTCAGTTACTCTCTGTTTCTCTCCTGATTCCCCTTTCCCATACATTTACAAGGAGGGGGATGGAATAGATTCCCACCTCTTGGAAGACAGCATTTCCCAGTGGGGTGGGATTTGCGACAAAAGGACACTGGACTTTAAGAAACAGGCCTGTCATCTCCCTCAACGTGGGACCGGGGAAGCAGTGACTGCGAAGGGGAGGCCTGGGGGCAGATGGACCAGACCCCTTGAGCGCAGGAGGGGGCGATGACGCCAAAGGACAAGGGGGGTGGCGGGTATGTGCGGAGTCTCGGGTCCTGGCAGAGGATTCGGCCTCTAGCGCATCTGGCCTGCAGCCTCCAGGGGCCAGGAGTGGAGAGGTTCCATTAGAGCGCGCACCCACGTCGCGGGTGAGGACTTTAGAGGGCAAGCGGGGAGATTAGTCAAGGTTGTAAGCAGGATACGAAGCAAAAGGAGGTGTCTGCACGACCCAAAGTGAGAAGAGTCACAGGCAGGACCAGCCTGCGTGACTTGAATCCAAAGGGAGCGATCCCCGGGCTCTCACCAGGACGTGTGAATGTTCTTCGGGTGGAGGAAGCGGTGCAGGGGTTTTAAGAGCTGTGGGAACCTCCGGACATCGGGTAGGGAGGCGCTGGGGCCTCCGAAGTGCAGGTTTAATCTAGGTAGAGGGAAACTCACGATCCACGCCGCGGCCTTGAGCCCAAGCGATGCGCAGCCGGGTCTGTAGGAAACTGCGCGTGCGCAGGGGTTGGAGAGGGCAGGGC